GGGTCAAGATTTTATTTTTTATTATTTTTTAATAACTTTTTTTTTTTTTTTAAAAGAGAGAGACACAGTGAGAGAGGGAACACAAGCAGGGGGAGTGGGAGAGGGAGAAGCAGGCTTCCTGCTGAGCGGGGAGCCCGATGTGGGGCTCAATCCCAGGGTCCTGGGATCATGACCTGAGCCAAAGGCAGACGCTTAACGACTGAGCCACCCAGGCGCCCCTCAAGATTTTATTTTATGTATGTATGTATGTATGTATTTAAAGTGGGCTCCACGCCCAGCGTGGAGCTCAACACAGAGCTTGAACTCACCACCCTGAGATCGAGACCTGAGCTGAGACCAAGAGTCAGATGCTGAATCAGCCACCCAGGCGCCCCAAAGGATCAAGATTTTGAAAGAAGAAAGGGATTCCGAGGAATTCTTGATTTCGGCTTCAGACCATCCACCAACAGCCATGGACATAATGGTTACCTCCTCGCCCCTCTCCTGGAAGTGTGGGAGGGCCCTGGTTCTTACAAGACTGTACTGCCCTGGACCTTCGTGCCTCTGGCTTGCATGTGTGATAGAAGGAGAGTCAACTGCTGCTCAGCTCTATTGATCCCTAAGGAGTCTCATCCTCAAGGTGCAGAGGCTGGAGGAACTGGAGACCTGTCCTTATGGGGCTCTTAGAATCCTAACCCAGACACTGGAGAATAACGATCAGGAGAAGGCGTAATTGTGCTAGAGAGCTCAGCCAGCTTGCTAAAAGCGAATGGAGGAAACTGGGAATTATATACCTAGGTCTAGACAGTCTCTCTGCTTGATACAACATGGTTACATTTTTTCCTGTTTTGAGAATGAGAGGAAGACAGATGCCTACTTTATAAATATAACAAGAGAACAGCACCAAGATTTGTATACCAGTGCTAATTCAGTGAGAGAATCCACTTAGCTCATCAAACTATAAATTGGAATACTGTGTGTGTGTCTGTGCATGTGTGTAGTCCTGGATTCTCTTGCATTTTAGTCTCAGGGTCCTCCTTTGTGAGATGGGTGTAATCCCAACTTCATAGGGTCGTGAGGATTAGTCTTCTCTTGTGAAAGTCCCTTAGTAACAATAATATAAATATTACAAGGTCTGAGACACCCTGATGTTGGCTACTGTTATTAATTATACTGGAAATAAGATAACCCTTTCCAAAGAAGCTCAAAACTACCCCACAGCGCAGTGTGATCTGCCTCCGCTCGCTGTCTGTCACTCAGGCAGTGTGTAATGACAATATTGAGGAAATTCAAAAGGACACAGTTGAAACAAGACCTTATTATGTGTTCGGCTTCCCTCTTTTTTCTGCCTCAAAGGGCTCTCAATTGTAAAGAATATTAGGCAGGTGTGTATGTACCTATATATACGTCAATAGTTTAAAATGTTAACATAGTTCCAAATGCCTCGAGGAAAAAAAATTTGGTTAAATTTTCATTGTGAAAGTGACATTGGTACCGTGTAAGGAACACTCTAGGCAGATAATGGTTTACCCCCTGAAGTACTGGGCGCGTATCCTAAAACCTTCAAGTGTCTGGGGAAGCGGTTTCCTTCTTGAAATGGATCATATCCTGCTCTCAGTGCAGGAGTCTGACTATGTACTTAGGAGAAGTCTCCTTCCCTGACTCTGATAATTCAGCCTGAGCTGGGTCTCCATGGATAGAAGAACAGCCTCTGGGTTCTCGCTGGGAGAAAGCCAGGGGCTGAAGGCAATGTTCCTTCCTTAGAACACATCTTTTGAGAAGCGGAAATGTTTTCCAGCAAAAAAACCAGTTGCTCCAAATGTTTCCTGACTGATTCAGTATTCAGTTCCAATTTCTGTGTCAAATGCTACTGTAGGAAAGATAGATACTCAGTGTCATGGGAAATCGTGGACTGATGAATACAACAGATTATACATAGAGGTAATATTAAATAAACATTGAGCTTTAAACATTACTGTGCAATAGTCAAGTGTGTAGGAATGAAATAATATGAGATCTGGGGTTTGCTTTAGAATAACCCAGCTGACTGTGGGAGGGGGCACGGGGTATAGACTAAACAGAATTGGCCATGTGTTGATAATTATTGAAACTAGGTGATGGGTCCATGAGGGTTCATTATACTATTTTCGCTAGTTTTAGAAACATTTGAAAATCTCCATATAAAAAGACAACAGAAAAGCCCCAAAGGTGTGACTTTGTCTTGTTTGAATGAAAGATGTTTTTAAAAATTAGTATTTCATAGACACTGCATACTGAAATATACAATACAGCTAACATTGGTGCTCACTATGTTAGGCATTTGCATGCTATTACATATATCTCTGTAACTTTATCTATATTACATATATATAATATAATTTATAGATATATACATATACATGTACATATATAATTTTTTTTTTTTTAGATTTTATTTATTTATTTGCGAGAGAGAGAATGAGAGACAGAGAGCATGAGAGGGAGGAGGGTCAGAGGGAGAAGCAGTCTCCCTGCCGAGCAGGGAGCCTGATGCGGGACTCGATCCTGGGACTCCAGGATCATGACCTGAGCCGAAGGCAGTCGCTTAACCAACTGAGCCACCCAGGCGCCCTGTACATATATAATTTAATATGTATGTATATTAAATACACACACATACATATGTAGTGTATCAATTCATTTCATTTCTGTTCACAACTCCATGTGTAGGTTCTATGTAAATTATCTGCATTTGCAGATGAGGCCGTGGGATAGGGAGATTAGTGCACAAGGTCATTAAGTAGGATTCGAACGCATTTAGACTCCGGAACCCACGCTCCTTCTTAAACAGAGCCCTCTACTGCTGTCAGTATCCATGCTGTTCCGTACTATTACATTGTCGCCCACAACTTCCCTTATCACAGTTTATTATTATTTTTTAAATTGATGCGAGAGTGGTGGGTGGGGTGGAAAGTTTTTTTTACTAGACTGTTCAGTAATCCCGCTGGAAATGCCTTACCCCTCCCCCTTAGCCCCAGGCACGGAGCCGGTGTGACCGAGGAGTGAGGTCGGGCGGGTTGGCTCAGAGTGGTCCTTGGTCCTAGGTTCCCTGGACCACCCTGGAGCGGCGCGCTGGCGGCCGAGTGGCGCCACCTGGTGGCCAGAAGCCCCGCAGTGGGCGTCTCCACCGCGCCGTTGGCCTCCGGAGCTGGGAGGGCGGCCCCGAGCGGTCAGACCTGGCGCTGCAGCCCAGAGGGCGGACGCCGGCCCTCCCCCGGGGACCAGGCAGAGGCGTGACAAGCCCAGGACAGATGGGCCTTTGACCTTGCCTGGAGCGTCTTGTCGGGCGGAGCCGGCCTCGGGAGGGCGAGCTGGGGACCCGGCCAGAGAGACCGAGTGAGGGCTCCCTCCAGGGGCCCGCCTTCCCAGCCCCAGCCAGGGCTCACCTCCAGAGCCTGGAGAAAGTGGGAGTTGAGAAGGGGTGGCTTTGCCTAAGGGCTCTTAAAATGAGCTCTTTAACATTTCCAGGTATTTAAAATTCACGTATTTATGCACATAGACATCTATATATTTCTTTGTATCCTCACCTCTTCGCAGAAACGGTATTAAAGCTGGAATCGTGTCATACAATGTTATTTTTTTCCTCACCACAGTCATCTTAGGCTTGTGGAGAACACAGACCTGCTGGCTGCCAGAGCCAAGACCCAGTGAGCAAGGCCAACCAAGGGCATTTGGCCACAGTCTTGAGGACCTCAGCCCAAGTTCTGAGCACCCTGACGCCTGCAGGCGAACCCTTCCCCCCGGTGCTGGAGGAGGGTGGCACAGCTCTAGAGCCTGAAGAGTATGTGGGAGCCCTGGCAGAGGGCACAGTGCTCTGTAGGGTGCAGCCCCCATGCGGGCAGAGACCTAGGCACCAACTCTCCCTCTCTCATGAGCCTGCCAAAATCAGTGAGGTCTGCAAAAGGTGAATTTGCAGGACTTCATCGGCTACCGGGACCTGAAGGCAGTCTCCGTGGCACATACTCTCTTCCCTACGGTCTCTGCACTGCTCTGGGGCTAGGCACGTCCTGAAGGGAGCCCCTTGCTGGATCCTCTTCAGCACGCAGGGTACCTTCTGTTACATGAAGCAGGTTCTGGATGCCACAGAGGGAGGGCAGCCCCTCCGAGAGCAAGGCCTCATTCGTCATCCAGAGCTGCCCAAAGTTACTGCAGTGAAGGCCCAAGTTCATGGAGGCCTGGCCTGGCCGGGGACTGGCCTGGCCCTCCCGTCTACTTTGTGAATTCTGTGTGAATATGCTTCAAGACACACCGCACTATGAGAAGGCAGGGTCCTAACTGAAGAGCAAGGTCATTCATTATTGAGGTTACTCTGTTAAGGAGGAGGGACATTTCTCAAATCTGATTCCATGATCTGAGCAGCGTAAATGGGCAGGCTGCAGAGTGGGCTCTCACACTTTGTCTAGAGATTGAAGATGTTAAGACTGCCAATGAGGGGACTCCTGGGGGCCGGGCTGGAGGATGGTGCCCTCCATGTAGAAATGAGGAATGCAAAGAGGATACCTGAAGACTTGTATCAGATCCTTTGGGCAAGTGTATGGGTCTCTCAGATAGCGATTGAGCTGGGTTAGAACCTGGGGACAGATTAATTATGTTGGAGCCAATTCCCATATTGGCAAAGCCATTTATCTTAGCGGAGCCAAGAGAAAATCAATAGATGAGGGAAGGGGGGTGGTGTCCACACTTTCATTCCAACTGTAAGAGAAGGCTGGGCAGAGTTGACAGGGTAACGGAAGCAAGAGAACCTAAAGGTAATGATAGAGTAGGGGCTCCTTAGTCATCCCTTCCTCTTTGACTTCTTTGATGCTAAACCTTGCAGGATCTAGGGTTAGCTTTATTTAGGAAAAAGTTGGTCCTCATAACCCATGATTTCAATAAGAACCAAAACCAAAACTGGTTCAAAAGATAACTGCAATGTTTGCTTGCAGTAATAGCAGCCCAGAACCTGGGCCATGGGATGGAATCATCCAACTGTAGTTACTTACTCTTTGTTGGTTGTTGGCTGTTCCTCTGTTGGAAGGAGGTAGAGATGGCCCGGTCTTGGCCTGCCCTTACGGCTGAGCCGGCTTCAGGCACACCGTTTCCCTAGAACTAAGTCCAGGCCAAAGGCAGATGAAAAGCCTCTCTGGCCCCTTTTATCTGGCCCTTTTACTTGGGTGATGAGAAGGCCTGGGTTAAAGGACCACAGCCCTTCCGGACCTGGAGTACAGCTGCAGGCCAGCCACTCCGTATTTCCTTTGCCTGGCTTCCCCTTGGGCCCTAAGGGCACGTTCTCTTCCCACGCAGGAGGCAAACCCTGGTCCTTTTGATAAGACCAGAGGCATGTGCTTCCGAGAGATAGAGATGCTAACAGGGAGAGGGGAAGAAGCCAAAACAATGTTTTCTCAACTCTGTACCCTCTTCCAGGTTCTAGCTTCCTCCTCCTCTAGGGCGGGTTAAGGGAGCCTCTAGCTTCCCCTTGTGGCTAAAATGTGCCATGACTCTAGTCAAACCATCTTTCTAAAAAGATGCATCCTACATTAGGGTATAGTTAACAGGGAATTGAGGACGACAGGCCTGGGAACCAAGAACCAGTTGCAGGAACTAAGGATGTTTGGTTTAGAATAAAGAAGACATGCAAGGACCAATCCCTCTTTAAATATTTAGAATGTGGGGGCGCCTGGGTGGCTCAGTCGGTTGAGCATCTGACTCGATTTCAGCTCAGGTCATGATCTCAGGGTTGTGGAATCGAGCCCCACATCTGGCTTCGTGCTTGGTGCAGAGTCTGCTTGAGGTTCTCTCCCTCTCCCTCCCCTTCTGCCCATCTCCCGGCTCTTGCTCTCTCTCAAATAAACAAATAAAATCTTTAAAAACAATTTTAAAAGATAAAAAATATTTAGAATGTGGAAGAGAAGGTATTTATTCTGTGGAGGATAAGAAGGCAAAATTGGGACCAAGGAATAAGTTAGTAGGAAGCAGATTTTTGCCTCAATATTAAAATTACCCACCCCCACCCCCAGAGATATTCAAGAAGGTGCTGCTGACCACATGGCGGTGGTGAATATTTTCGATATTCACCTGTGGTGGTGACTATAAACAATGACATTACCCAGAGACTCCAGTTTGCCCACGTGCACTCCGCACCCTCTGGAACACATCTTGCCTTTGGAAATGGAATAAGGATGTTTTGCCTAATAGATCTTGACTTGTGATTCGCAAAACATGGGCAAGGCGCTAGAGTTTCCTGCAACTCTGAAGTTCTGTAACTCCACATTTATCACAGGAGATTAAGTAACCCCTTTAGCTTACCTAGAGAAGTAGCCACAGAATGGGAGCTAGACCCAAGAAGGATCTGACTCCTCTTTGGATGTTACTGGAGACTTTTACAAATTCTGACTCCAAGGAGGCTGGCTACCCATGATAAGATACAAGAGTCATCTCTGGGTTTGGAATAAGCTTTCCCTGTTTAGCTCTGCATGCCCCATTCTGCAGGTCTTCCCCTCATCCTCCCCTCCTTGTAACACATCCCCATAGTGACGGCTTTTCTCTGCTTTCCAGGATGGTACCGTAGGAGACGAGACAGGGCTCACTCCGGAATGGAGCTGGTGTTTCTCCGGAGATGAGCTCACATCTGTTTGTCCGTCCACCCTGGGCAGGGACCAGCCCTGGTGTCATCCAATGCCCCCGCCCTGGTTGTGTACTGGGAGAGTCTGCTCTTGTCTTAGAAGCTGTGAGTCCAGGGCACCTGGGTGGCTCAGTTGGTTAAGCAGTTGCCTTCCACTCAGGTCATGATCCTGGAGTCCCGGAATCGAGTCCCACATCGGGCTCCCTGCTCAGCAGGGAGTCTGCTTCTCCCTCTGACCCTCCCCCATCATATGCTCTCTCTCAAATAAATAAAATCTTCAAAAAAAAAAAAAAAAAAAAAGAGGCTGTGAGTCCTTGAGGACAAGCAACACCGGCTCATTACTCTGAATCTCCAGGCAGCTAATAACGTGTTACACCCTGTGGGCATTTGGTAGGTATTTGGCATTTGCTTCTCTTCTCCCATGTGTATGCTCCAGATTCCATCATCCAGGGAGGCCCTTCTACCTGTCGCTCCTCTTCCAAGCTCAGCTTTGGGAGCTCAGTTTCCGGAAGGGAAGTGTGTCTTCAGCAGACGGCTCTGTTTTACACTTACTGTGTTTGAGTACCTAGGTACCATGGTGATCAGTGCTATAGAAATAGAAAGAGCAGGGAGGCGGAACAGAGAAAGGGAGCACCCCGAACCCCAGGGGGCTGGAAGCAGTGTTTTGTGACATGGATGTTTATTTTGAGCTGGAAGCATTATTTATCGTGTCCTTCGTGCCCAGATCTCTCCCGTGGGCACGTGCGTGCTGTCTGCTTCCTGACGCACTTACATCCTCTGGGCCTTGAGAGGAGAGATGCTGCCTTCGGCAAAGAAAGATGCACATCGTTGTCACGACTTCTTACATTTGCCTGTCACTCGGCACTTGGCACATTCATGCACATTACTTCCCTCCTTTGATCCTCCGTCCGAGCAGATTGCATGAACCCTGTTCCCTGATGAATTTCACATTCAGAGACTAACTTGTCCAAAGTCACATGGCAAGTGAGTGGTGGGAGCTAAAGTCCACCTGCTTCCTAGAGTCGGCCCCCTTCCGCTAAGGTCGGGCCGAGTGGCGGTGGGAACTCAGGGCTGGGCGGATGCAGTGCATTTTGGGCCGTGCCCTTCAGGGTAGAACGAGCTGCGCGGAGTGGTCCAAGTCACAGAGAAGCCCCTGGTGCCTCTGCACGGAGCCCACAAAAAAATGTGATCGGCTGCAGAAGTTTTGCTCATTTTATGTCCGGAGACAAAAGAAAGCACAGGCCGGGGTGCCTGGGTGGCTCAGTCCATTAAGTGACAGACTCTTGGGTTCAGCTCAGGCCGTGATGTCGGGGTTGTGAGATCCTCTCCCTCTGCTCCTCTCCTTCTACCCCTCCCCCATTTGTGTGTTTTCTCTCCCTCTCAAATAAATAAATAAATAAATAAAATCTTTAAAAAACAAAAACAAGAAAACCCTGGTTGATTCTAGATCGTGGGATTATGAATGTTCTCTATGTTCTATTTTCTTTCCCATATGAACAGATACGCCCTGTTCCATTCTCCTGTACTCAGCAAGACCTTTTCATGTTATAAGCTTCAGAAGACTGGAATGTGTATTCCTGAGAGGACACAATGCCAGTCCAATAAAAATATTTTTTTTTGAAGAAGTTTGTCCATAATTCATGGGCAGTCAAACAATGAGGATTTGAGCACTTACCGTGCACACAAATACCAGGAAAAGCACAATCATTTGAGTAGACATGTCTAAACGTCAAGTCCACTAACCTGGAGGGGAGTAGGGGTCATTTAAAAGCCAAATGAATGGTGCAGACAGGGAAGATGAATAATTCACAGGAGGGGGAGATCTTCATGGGCGGAGGTGACCAGAGAGTCTTTGGGGAGGAAGAGTCTTCCAGTTAGTGCTTGAACAATGAATAGGATTTAGAATGACAGGGAGAAAAGAGAGGCACATCCAGGCAAGCACAGTATGGTGAGCAGAGGTGAAGGAGAGGCCCGTAGGGTGTCCAGGGCGCCAGGTAGGCCAGGCTAATCAAAGAGGGTCTTCCTTAAGCATCTGACACAGTTCACGGTGACTGGGGAGCAACGCTCTCTGCTCCTGAAATGGGCTGAGTCTGTCTGCAGTCACTAGGGACTGGGAGCCTCTCAGAGGATCCAGTTACACACAGAACTCCCCACGGAGCTCATTTCTGACGGCAAACTGCTTGCAGATGCTGACAGAGAGACTGTCAAGGTTTGGATCTGATTTTGCTCTGAATCATCCGATTCTTGGCTGGAGCCCCTGGTGGGAGGCCCCTTGAGCCTGCACCCAGACCCAGCCAGCCCTCCGGGATGGGAAGGCGGCAGCTTCCTGGCAGGGCCCGTGGAGGACCAGCCCCCCGGCCTCAGATGGCTTCTGCTTAGAAGGTCCCCAAGCACAAATCTCCCCCCTCCTCCAAGCATCAGAATAAGCAGCGGGACTTATGTTGGGGGGATGAGGGGAAGGACAGGCAAGTGTAATGGCCGAAAACAGCCACCTCACCACCTGTCATACACTAGAGCCTCATTCCTTTGAGTGTTAAGGTTAAAAAAAAAGGGCCCCCCAATTTCAGTTTGATTTTGTGCATGTGTGTGTGTTTGGCGGGGGTGGGAGGCTCTTCTGTGACTCTCTGGAAATGACTTCTAGGCCCCATTGCCATGTGCTTTCCTCTGGGCTGCCTCTGGATGACCAAGGGACCCCTTGGCCATGTCCTCTCCCTCTTTCGGGGCAGGACAACATTGCCAAGTCATCTCGCTAAGAGATTTCTTTACCATCCTGAGAGAATCCGTTTTCGTGTCAGGCGATTCCTATTTATGTCTAAACCTGAGGCTCTCATGTTGCAGAAATAGAAAATATCCAAGTACCACCTTCTTTCCCTTAAACCCAGACTCTCCTATTGTTCCCCCTGAAGGCCACATGGTGGGATGAGCCTCAAGTCAGATGAGCCGTGGTTCTGTCACTACCAGCTGGGGGACCTCAGGCAAGTGACTTAGCCCTGAGCCTGTCTGTACCTTGGCCGGGTGAGGACCAAGAGGACCATTGTGAGCAGAATGTGGCAAAATTAGTTTCTTCGATATATTCAAAAGCCTCTATTGGGGTAGCCCTCAGCCTTCAGTGTGTTCAGCCCCTAAGCTTATCCGTCCGTTTCCAACACTTTAATCCCCCTCTTTGAGTGTGTTGTTGACCACTAAGACACTGAGCTCGCCCAGAAGCCTCTTCTGAGCCTGCACAAAGGAAATAGTCCTTTCCAGGCAAGGTTTTTACACCAAAAACTGGCTTCTAGGCCCAAGGAGGCTGCCCCAGGGAGCGAGCATGCCCTGGACACTGCTTACAGAGGTGCCTGTGTTTGCCATCTTGTCCTCAGTCTTTGGATACCAGTGTCCGCAGGAATTCACAAAAGGTGTCTCCAATTTCAGGGTACATATTTTGATCTGAGGTTGAGCTGCCTATCTTCTCCCTCCATGGACTTGTACCACATCCTCCCGGAAATAAGTGACCCAGCCTCCTTGTGGAGTGACCTCTCCAGAAAACCTGCCGTCCTGGGTACAGGACGAGAACTGGGACGATACACGAGGGAGAGACGAGGCTCTTGTGACTGAAACAGAGCTGGTCAGGAGCCAAGTCATTAATGTTCCTACCGACTTCCCTTTGGAGCAGTCAGGAGCTGTTTTTCTCTCATCTTCACTCCTCTCTTTTGTGTCTGGCAACCACTTTGATTATCAAGATGGCAGTACACAAAAGCAGGTCCCTCCACACCTCCCCGTAACTATTTCAGTGACTCCTCCTTTGTCCTGGGGCAGCCACCCTCACACCTGTTTTTGGGCCACCCTCTACCCCCACCTCATTTTCCTTGGACCTGGTTTTAGCCATGGTTCTACCTACACAACTTTGCATCTCACTATCTCAGCACCAAAGTGCTAACAAACTAATTTAATGAATGTTTCCAAGCTCAGTGAGAGAAGACCAGAGGCATTCTCGATTCCCTGTTGAGTTCCTTGTGTGGTTCCAGGCATCCCATCCCTGACTTGGTGATTCTGACGTTGGAAATTTCTCAGAAAGCAGGAGATGCTTTTGGGTCAATGGGTCATTCAAGTAACCCTCCTATTATACTGGATACTAAGTTCTCCATAAATTAAAGACAAAATTATGAGATGACCATCATGCTCATAAGCAAGAAACGGAATGCTGTGCACTGGTGATCGGGACCGTCAGGTGACATAATCAAAATGATCTAATGCCTATTTAGTGACATTATGTTATGCTTTCTTCCAGCCCTCATTACAACTCACATGGAGGAGAGTATCTTTCAATGTGACTTTTCTACGATAATGGATAGCTTCTCATAAGTCATGGTTTCTGTCTCCGAACTGTAGAGTGGTGGTCTTCAAAGTATGATCTGGGAACCAGCAACATCAGCATCACGGGGCAGCTTGTTAGAAAGGCAAATGCTCAGGTCCCACTGCAGACTATGGAATTAGGAATTCTGAGGGGGGCCCAGCAGTGTGTTAGAACAAGCCCGCCAGGGAATCCTGATGCTCGCTCAAGTCTGAGAACCACTGGTGGAGAGTCACCCATTAACCAATTCATAGTCTGTTACCTGCTCTAGCTCAGAGCGCTGGTCTGCCCCTCTCCAGGAGGCCTCCCAGAGAAAATAAAATTCTTGTCAACCTTGTCTCTTCCCTAATCAGCTTAACTTGTTTTGCCTGGAGTAGTGAGGTGAGGCGGGGAAAAGGGAAATGGCCTTAGGAACAGCAGGAGATGCTGAGAGAACACTTGGAAGGAGCTTGCTCCATCCAGTTGAGGGCTGCGAGCAGAGTGAGCCTGGGATTAAGTCCTGCTGAGTTCAAACTGAACCAAAAGGGAGACACGAGCACCCATTGTGCTCAGGAGGGCTCCACCGTCCCCAGAGTGGGTTCCTTGCTGATCTGCCCCGTCTCCATTCATCAATGTGAATAAGAAGAGCTGTATAAACGTTATTTATTGGTGTGTGGTGTCTGGTTTAAAGTAAGTCATGAACAGGACTTGTAATCATAGGGATGGTCTACAAGCATACAGCCTGTCTCTTGAGTTAGAGGTGATAAATTAGATATTATATTGGAATTATTTCTGCCAGAAGGAGGTGTTTATTTATTTTTTTTATTTTTTAATTTTAATTTTTAATTTTATTATTTTTTTATTTATTTGAGAGAGAGAGCGCATGAGCAAGGAGAGAGGCAGGCAGAGGGAGAAGCAGTCTCCCCGATGAGCAAGGAGCCCGATGCGGGGCTCGATCCCAGGACCTTGGGATCATGACCCCAGCTGAAGGCAGACGCCCAACCAACTGAGCCACCCAGGCACCCCATTTTTTAATTTTTAAAGATTTTATTTATTTATTTGAGAGAGAGAAAGTGTGTGTGTGTGTGTGGACGCGTCCATGCGCGCACAACCTGGGGGGAGGAGCAGAGGGAGAGGGAGAAGCAGGCTTCCCGTGGAGCAGGGAGCCCGACGCAGGGCTCGATCCCAGGACCCTGGGACCATGACCTGAGCCGAAGGCAGACACTTAAGCGACTGAACCACCCAGGTCCTCCAAAAGGAGGTGTTTAGAATCATACCATAGTTCCCACCAACAGAGTGCTTTTTTTTTTTTTTAAAGATTTTATTTATTTGTGAGAGAGAGAGCACATGAGAGGGGGGAGGGTCAGAGGGAGAAGCAGACTCCCTGCCGAGCAGGGAGCCCGATGCGGGACTCGATCCAGGGACTCCGGGATCATGACCTGAGCCGAAGGCAGTCGCTTAACCAACTGAGCCACCCAGGCGCCCCCAACAGAGTGCTTCTTGTCAGCGTGACCACACCGGCTGATGAAGCCTGGGAAAACACCAACTACCTCATGCACCAGCTACTCATGACTCTTCAGGAGAGGTACAATTATCCTATTTACAGGTGGGGAAACTAAGGCTCAAAATGTTGAGTCAACTGCCTCTTAGAAAGGGACCAGTGCTTCAACTAAGCAGCGTCAAAAGCCTACAGGTTTCACCACCATGAGTCTAATGGGCCAGAATCTTCCTTCATTTGTTTTCCATGAAATCTCAGCTTCTCTGCTCAACTCCGTCTTCTTGTCCCTCTCTCCCACTTCATCTCCCTCCTCTTTCTGAGTTTGCCGACAGTCTTTTTTTCATCCTGATGGAATGCTTTGCTTTTGGGGGTCTCTATGGGCTGCTCTTTGTTTGATCCATCCATAATTAACCCTAAAAATGATCAGAGGCAGAAATTTGTATTTAAAAAAATTTTTTGGTACTCTCTTGGGCTTAAGAAAGACACAACAGGTTTTGAATAATACTTATTTGCTGAATGTCGGACCAGCCAGTGGATCCCTCCTAGAGGCGAATGGTGTTGGGCTGAGGTGCAAGTTAAAAGTAAACCAGTGGTTGCTGGAGCCCCAGATCAGTAATTCTCAAGTGAGTTTGGATGAGTGGACATGCCCCCCCGCCCAGCCCAGGGCAGGGGGGGAGGTACATCTAATTGGAGCCTGGCTCTGTGAACTATTCTCTCCCATGCTGATTCTTAATCCCCCAGGGCAGGGGCCAGGACACTGGTCTTTTCAAGAGGTCCACAGTAATACTTAAGGTTAGGCCAGTTTGGGAAATGCTAGCCGGAAGGAGTAAACTTTGGTTCTTTTTTTTTTTTTAAGAGTTTATTTATTTATTTGTTGGAGAGAGAGAGAGCACAAGCAGGGGGAGCGGCAGGCAGAGGGAGAAGCAGGCTTCCCACTGAGCAGGGAGCCCGATGCAGGACTCGATGAGGGACTCGATCCCAGGACCCTGGGATCATGACCTGAGCCAAAGCACTTACCCGACTGCGCCACCCAGGTGCCCCAAACTCTGGTTCTTTTATTGCATCTCCAATTACCTATTTCAGAAGCTCCCTCTGGAGATCCTGAGGCTGGGCTCCTGGGACCAGAACTTGAGAATACTGCTCTTTGAGCGGATGCCCTCAAACCCGGAGCATGCATCAGAATCTTCCTAAGGCTTGTTAAAACACAGACTGTGGGCCCCACTCCCAGGGTTTCTGATCTAGTTGGTTGGGGAATTTGCATTTCTTTTTTTTTTTTTAAAGATTTTTAATTTATTTATTTGACAGAGAGAATGAGAGAGAGAGCACATGAGAGGGGGGAGGGTCAGAGGGAGAAGCAGACTCCCTGCCGAGCAGGGAGCCCGATGCGGGACTCGATCCAGGGACTCCGGGATCATGACCTGAGCCGAAGGCAGTCGCTTAACCAACTGAGCCACCCAGGCGCCCGGGAATTTGCATTTCTAATAATCCCCTAGGGGACACTGACGCTGCTGGTCTGGAGACCACACTTTGAGAACTGCTTTGCTAGATCCTTCCATTGCATTGAAGAGTAAATTGGCCCTCAGCACAGACGGGAGAGACCTTTCTTTACTTCAAGCTAAGATGTATAAGGGTAGTGACATCTGACATGCCCGGGCTTCCTCATAAATCACCAGGCTCCTTTAGTCCAGAGCTCTGCTCTCACTCCGTCCAGCAAATGTTCTAATTGCTATTAAAACCAGCTGTTGGGAAGCTCAGGCTCTAGGATTCCAGGACCCAGACGCTACATACAACCCAGACACTGACTTTGTGAATGACCAGAAGGAAGCCATTTATCTTTCCCTGGCCCGATTTCCCCCTCATCTGACAAAGGTGACATCTTGAGGAGATGAAATGAGAGAATAAATTCAAACCCATTCAGACATATTTAAAGCTCAAGGTACAAATGCTGGCCATTACCCTCAGTCTGTGCCTGGAGAGACAAAGAGAGTGGCTCCCGGGTCTTGGTTTTTCACGAACTGGGGTGACCTGGAGCCAGGGGTCTCCATCCTTCAAAGGCAAGGGATTGGCCTGGGTAGTCTCAAATGTCACTTGTAGCTGGAGGATCGCAGGGTTCGACTCCCAACCCCAGCACCTGAGATTGGCTTCATTCTTATGTTGGTTTATACAGACGTCTGTTCCTCCTCTTCGTCACGTTGTAATGCACGTTTGGGGCACCAAATATTCCATTTAAAGTACCTAGGATGTTTGGAGCAAGTGGGAAGAAAAAGTGTCAGGGTCATTTAACACAGAACAAGGCCAAGCGACAACGAAAAGCAAGCAAAGCGTGGCCGTGGACTTCTGCAGAGTGATCCGACTTACCTTGACCACAGCAAAACCTCCAGGGTGCAGGTGGACACAGAACAAAGAGAAGCAGGCAGAAGATGGGTGTGTGAGGAGGAATCCTCGCTCTCTTGACTCGCGTACGCTTCACAGGGCTCGGCGTCTCCCAGCCAGCCTGAGGAGAGGGGCAGGGCAGGCAGCGGAATCCCTATTTCCCCAGCAGAAAGCTCTTGCTCTTGAGAGTAAATGCATTTCCCATAGTCCTCTGGACAGGGCTTAGCTTGGAATCAGCTCTTTCATGAAACGTGGAAGGTCAAGAGAACAAGGGTCTCTTTCTGAGTAAACCCAGAGAAGTCCTGGTTCACCGGCAGCTCCTCAGTGAAGGCAGAAACCCTGGCTTGTGCCCAGGGTGGAGAAAAGCGAAACAAAGGACTCTCACTGAGCTAATGGGAACTAGACCCGGAGGGGGATCTCTGCAAATGTTGCCTTTTACCTGTAGTTTGCAAGTTGCATTTAAAAATTGTCTACTGACTGGTTTAACATTCATTCTCATTGACATGTTTGTAAGTTCTTCTGTTTGAAAGGAGAGAGCAGGAGCGCCTGGGGGGCTCAGCCGATTAAGGGTCTGCCTTTGGTTCAGGTCATGATCTCAGGGTCCTGGGATTGAGTCCCGTGTCCGGCTCCCTGCTCAGTGGGGAGTCTGCTTCCCCCTCTGCCCCACGCCCTCCCGCTCACTCTCTCTCTCTTTCAAATGAATAAATAAAATCTTAAAAAAAAAAAAAAAAGGAGAGAGCAAAATCCCAAGGCCATTGTTTGGGTGGGAGGAGCAGGTTTTCAGACAACAAAGGCTGAGGGTGGGGGACAGGGGGCTGCAGCTGCATCAGCCTTAATCTGGGGAGCAATTTTTGGTTGTTGAGGAATGGTATGACAATTAGTGAGATGTCATTAGAATACACAGAATATAAACAGCTATGAAAACAAATTTTTGCAGTGTTTAGGGACTGACTGATAGTAAGATAGAATATACTCAGCCATGATCACTAGAAAGACAACAGGTGTGCAATTGTATTGTAACTGTTTATTTGTCCACACCCCGTTGTCTGTACCTTAAAAATGTCCTCTTTGGGATAAATTGGTTTCACCTTAAATCCATTTTGGAACAAAGCAGGGATAAGCATGTTACTGAATGAGTGGCTAAATGAGAGAATCAAGGAGCAAATGAGTGAATAAACCAATGATCAAAACAGTGAACCGACAAACAGACCAATAAGAAACATACGTCAGTAGCCTCTTGTCTTGTCCTGATGGATTGAGGCCATGGGCAGCCCTTGCTCTCGAGCTTTTCTTGCTCTGCAGAGGTCTGTAGTTGTCCAGTACGATTTTGATGGGGACCAAAGGAACAAGACTGGGGTTGTCAGCTCGATTCACACAGGAGCCACGGAGTGTTGCTCTGCCTTGTGGCCCAGGCTGCAGCGTGGAACCAGACCCAGGTCAAGCTAATCCTGACAGATGATGGTGTGAGCTGTGTTTGCTTCTCAGGGCTCCTCCTTGTGGAGCCATTTCTCTTCTTCCTACAAGGCCAGAGCCATCCATGCTGCATGTCCCAGGAGCATATCCCCGGCTGGGTCTCTCACAGGACTGACAGTCCCATGCATCAGCTGTTCCCTTGACCTAATTCATCACAGCTCCTCTCCCGTGGTATTCCACTCAGCTCTGTGGACAATGGGGAGGACCCAGTTAACCTAGTCAATGGGAAGAGCCCTCTAAGAGGTGGAGACAGTCATGGTGTAAGTGTCAGGCCTAACTGAAAGCCAGAGGAGAAGGCGTTTCTGGAAAGATGGGCCACCAGATCCTTCCTTCTACAGGGTAGTTGTTTATGTGTTAGATACCAGGCCAGGTGCCATAGAAGATTAAATACAGACACAGATGGACAAACAGACACACACACACACACACACAATCACACACACTTTCTCCCTCCAGAACCTTACAGATGGATGGAGGAAGCCATACAAATGCACAGAAATTATAAGTCAGTATATAAAAACAATCATTTTTGCTTTAAATAATGATTTGCTGATTCCTATAAAGAGTTGCTCTTGCCCCTCTTTTCTTCCCACTAACCTTTCTTTCCTTTCTACTTTTATCTGATTGCATGTTCCAGCTCAGGGACTTTATACAGAATAGGAGTTCCCCTGAAAAGCAAGAATAAGAAAAACAATAGCTTTTCAGTCAATTCTTGTTGGCAGGAAAACACCAGAGACGGGGAGGGTCATGGGAGTCGGTGAACTGTTGCTCCTGGCAATTGAAATACTTAATTTGTCATCTGAAAATGAGAAGTCAGGACTGCCCTGGAGCTTAGCTAAAAACCATGGGGTTATCTGAGGTCTGGAACTAGGTTGCCAGGAAAGGAGAAGGGAAATGACCCAGTAGGGCCAAGGTCAGCAAAGGCTTCCACGAAGCACGGAGCTTATCTCAGTTCTTCTGTGTCCTGTCTCCAACTTCGGGAAGTCATGCTGCTTCTCTGGACCTCAATTTCTTCATTTGCAGAACAGCCATAATATCTACTCTGTGCACGTCACAGAGCTGGCCTAAGGCTAAAATGGGTTAACATATGCACATGAACTCCATCCTGAGCACACAACATCATACGTAGTGGCTGCTCATTTCAGGGGAACTCGTGTTTCCTGGTTTGCTGGAAAAGAGGTGAGATTGGCAAGTACTCAACACTCCATTAAACCAGAGAAGTGATCTTGCAATTTCCTCACAAACCATCCAAGGACTCAAACACCTTTATCAGGCATCCTCTCTGGTGTGATGTACATGAGTTAATTTAATTATCTGACCAACCCCACAAAGAAAATATTTTCTTCTTCCTCAGGCAGAGAGAGAAATCAAAGCTCAGAAGAGTTGACTATACCGTGCTTGAGACCACATGGGGATTCTAACTCAGATCTGTCTGACTCAAAGCATATTCATTTTTCACTGTGCCCCACTGGCTCACAGCTTTGATAGATATGGGAATAAAACCTAGGCCTTCACATGAAGTCACCAGGACCCTATACACCCCAATAGGCCATGGAGAAATGAGAGAAGAGATAAAACTGGTATCTCTGGAAAAGTCACCTCACCTCAGGACTGTTTGTGGAGACAGCTGAGGGCTGATGAGAGGTCCCATGTCCACCAAATGGGCTTCACCTTTTCATCCTCTCTCTGTCTCTCTCTGTCTCTCTCCAGTATCTACTTCAGATGACCCCAAAGCCAATGGTCCACAAAACACCTCTTCCTGGCCTCACATAGGTCTCTCAAACTGCCCAACTGCCCTCCAGCAGCCAGGCCAGATGGGCACTGGAGGTGGAACCTAGTTTGGAAACAGCTTGAGAGCTCAGCGGGGGTGGGCTGGGCGAGGGGCAGGCTTCACTCTATCTCCCTTTCTCCACGCAGTGCTGCCTCCTCCTCCTGGCCTGCTTTCTGATGTCCCCAAGGCCTTTTCAAGTAGGGAGAGTGGAAGGACAGAGTGGATGTGGCCAATCAAGAAACGACATCTTTTAATCAGGTCATCCAGGCAGCCCCTTGTCTAACCCGGCTGGCTCTGAGCCTTTTGCCTGGGGATCATTCTGTTTTGTAACAGTAAAGCTGACCTCAAGCTAGGCCACTCTGTCCAGATCCTTGTTTGATCTAAACAAGCACAACAGCTATGTCACCAGAGAGTTCTGTCTCGCTGGCAGGTCTCCAGAAGGGTGTGTCGCTGCTTAGCCAGAGGAGTCAGCAGAGAGCCTCTCCCCTGCTTAGGTCACCAAGGGTAAGAGCCTGCTCATGGATTTTCCTTGGGTACAGAGGATCCTGATTTTCTAGAGCTATGTAAAAACGAGACTCATACAACTTGTGAGAGATGCATCAAGTTTGCTGAATAGAAGGGCACTATACAACAACCATTTTGCATTTTCATGACCAATCACTGTTAGAAAACACAAGCTTTTGGATAAAGAAGATGTGGTGTGTGTATATATGGAATATGACTCAGCCATCAGAAAGAATGAATATTTACCATTTACATCGACGTGGATGGAACTGGAGCATATTATGCTGAGAGAAATAAGTCCATCAGAGAAAGACAATTATAATGTGGTTTCACGCATATGTGGAATATAAGAAACAGTGCAGAAGATCATAGGAGAAGGGAGGGAAAACTGGGAAGAAATCGGAGAGGGAGATAAACCATGAAAGATTCTTTTTTTTTTTTAAGATTTTATTTTATTCATTTGACAGAGAGAGAGAACACGAGAGGGAACACAGCAGGGGGAGTGGGAGAGGGAGAAGCAGACTTCCCGTGGAGCAGGGAGCCCGATGTGGACTCGATCCCAGGACCCTGGGATCATGACCTGAGCCAAAGGCAGATGCTTAACAACTGAGCCACCCAGGCTCCCCAAACCATGAAAGATTCTTAACTATAGGAAACAAACTGAGGGTTGCTGGAGGGAAGGTGGGTGGGGGGATGGGGTAATTGGGTGATGGGCATTAAGGAGGGCACGTGATGTGATGAGCACCAGGTGTTATACACGACTAATGAATTATTGAACTCTACATCTGAAACTAATGATGTACTATACGTTGGCTAATTGAATTTTTAAAAAGTAAAAAAAAAAAAAAAGAAAGAAAAAGAAAACACAAGCTTTTAAAGCTAACATCTAAAAAAGAAACAAAAGCTATAAGGACCAGAAATAAATCTAATAAAATGTATGCATGATCTTTATGAAGAAAATGATAAAGCTTCATTTATTTAGGTATTCTTCAATAGATGAATAAGGTGTTCATGATACAAAGGTTCACAGTCATTTCAATTTTTCCTAAATTAATTTATAAATTCTATGTGACACCAAACCAAATCTAGGCAGGGGATTTTTTTGTGTGTTGTAACTAGACAAGATGATTCTAACCTGGCTGTGAAAAAGCAAAGGGCCAAAAGAGTTATAAAATTTTGAAAAAAACAAGATGAGTGACTTGCCCTATAAGATTCTAAGACTGACTAAATTAAGGCAGTGTGGCAGAAAGAGACAAATAGAACCAATGAGACAGAACAGGTGTTCCCCAGACAGGTCTCTCTACATGGGAAGACTTGATATGTGACAGGAGTGGCATCCGGATCCATGGAGAAAGAATGAATTGTTCAACTAATGGCACTGGGAATTTGGTAATCCATACAGAAACACAAAACCAAAAAGAACCCATTAAATTCTAGGTGAAAAATTTGAAAAGCAGAACTTTTGGACTTCTAGGAGCAAATATAGAAAACTTTCAAGATCACAGTGTAGGCAATACTTATCTGAAAACACAAAAAGAACAAGCCATAAAGAAAAGTAGTGGTAAATTTGACTGCATTAAAAATGTAAAGGCTCTTTTCATCAAAAGATGCCATAAAGGAAAGGTAACAAATCGACAAGCACAAAGTAGGAGAAGATCTTGGCAGTGTGGCAGCCATCGGAGTGTGTTGCTCAGTTTCCCTCCTACAGAGAAGCACCTGCCAGGTGTGTGACTAGAGGACAGCCTGTAGCTGTTGTGCCCTTGAGATCCACCATAGGGTTCAAGTTGAGGCCATGCTCTCCCTGATCTGATCCCCACTAAAGATTGAGCATGGCTGGAGAACCAGAGCTGAGCCATTCCTGCCCAATGTCGAACTCTTTCAAAAGGCAAACTTCTAGGGCTCAGTAGCTGGGCAGAGACTTTCTCCGAGATGCCCAACAGTGGAGGCTCTTCCTACCCAATCCTCCTTTCTTTTCTCTTCCCCTTTCCAGATAGCAAGATCTGCACTGGCATCTGAAGGCTCTCCCCAACCAATCCCACCCCCATCCCATTACCCTTCAGAAGCATTAGCCCCAATAACTGTCTTGCACTTTTTTTAAAAAAGATTTTATTTATTTTTTTGACACAGGGAGAGAGAGACAGCTAGAGAGGGAACACAAGCAGGGGAGCGGGAGAGGGAGAAGCAGGCTCCTGGCTGAGCAGAGAGCCTGATGCGGGGCTCGATCCCAGGACCCTGGGATCATGACCTGAGCCGAAGGCAGACACTCAACAACTGAGCCACCCAGGCACCCCTGTCTTGCACTTCTAATTCCCTCTTGGGGTCTGCTTCTTGGAGGACTTGAACAGACATAGCCTATAAATGACCAAGGACTGGTATCCAGAATGTGTATGAAAACCAACGTATAGATTGCTAAGATAAAAACAACTCAATAGAAAACCAGGCGAAAGGTATGAACAGGCAGTTCACAGAAGAAATCTAAAAGGCCAATAAATACAAGAAAAGATACTCGATCTTACTCGTAGTCAGGGAAATGTAAATTACAGCAAACCAGATACCATTTTTATACCTGTAAGATTGGTGAAACACCAAAACATTTACAAAGCATTCGGGGAGATATGGAGCCACAGGAATACGTACTGTTGGTGGGAGGGCAAATACATGTGTCCATTTTGGATCGTAGCTTAGTAATTACAGTACTCCCTTAGTAAAGATGAGCAAGTACTCATCCATTATTTCCTCATAAGAGACTCTCCTGGGTATGCACAAGGAGACTTGTAGAAGACTATACTGCAGAATTATTTGAAAGAGGAAAAGAATCCAGGACAACCTAAATGTCTACCAAGAGAAAAATGGATGAACACAACGTGGGATAGACATGCTAAGGAATATCATAGAGCTATGAAAATAAGTAAACCAAAGCAAAAACTTCCATATGGAATGAAAGTGAAAAGCTGCATTTGGGCTGTTAAAAGTTCTAATAATATTTATTTTAAGAAAGTTAAAAAAAACAAACAAACAAACAGAGAAAGAGAGAGAAAAAGAGACACTTGTTTATCCTCTAGTCTATAACCAAGTTGGCAAGTACTTTTGACATAATTTGTCTTGGCCACACTAACTCTTGAAGGAGGCTATGATTTTGTAAGTTTTTCATCTATCAAAAGCAAACGGAAAAGGACCATTGTTAATAATTTTTTCTCATCAACCATTGGAGTTGCTAGAGGTTTGGTGGTACTCTCTTAAATGCCTGCCCCCCTTGAGTGGGCCTGGCATTCGGGGAGTATGAATGGGAAAGGAGAGGTGTGGGGAGGGACCTTTGGTGCGGGCAGAGGTGAGGTAGGTGTGGGAGGGCTGTGGGGGCCCCAAGTGTGCACCCCTGCTGGGGAGCTGCCACACCGGCCCTGCCATGGGCTAGCATAAGCTGATAGTCCAGCTGCCGCTCGTGTGTGTTGTGCTGGAATCCTTACTATGTGCGGGAATCCTGCTCTGGCCAGCGATGAAATTACAGACAGCAGGGTCCAGCCTCGCCTAGGTGACCCAAGAGGGGAAACCTCTTTTCTGGATCCTGGCTTTGGAAAACGTCCCAGGCCTCTTTGCCAGGGCCTTGTTCCTAGTTGCATTCCTGATCTGGGACCGACTGTGGAACACTGAACTGTTTATTGGCGCCTCCGGGTCTGTAGGAGAGTGTCCCTCCACTGACTTGGCCACCGCACCTTCCAATCGAGTCAACAGTAGGTAACACAGGGGTCCCTCTTTATCTGCGGGTTCAGTTACCATAGGTCAACCTCAGTCTGAAAGCAGATGATTCTCTTTCTGCCCTATCGATAGAGGATCAATAGTTGCCGAGCACTGTGTCATAACTCCTGCATTATCCGCCTCACTTCGTCTCATCACGTGGGCACCTTATCATCTCCCATCATTACAGGAAGAGAAGAGCGAGTAAGTATAATAAGATATTTTGAGAGAGAGACCACATTTGCATAACTTTTATTCAGTATACTGTTCTGTTTGTTCTATTTTATTGTTAATTATTGTTGTTCCTCTCTTACTGTGCCTAATTTAGAAATTAAACTTTATCATAGGTATGTATGTAGAGGAAAAAGCATAGCATATATAGGTTTCAGTGTTATCCACGGTTTTAGGCATCCCCTGGGGGCCAGGGATCATTTCCCACTAGTCAAGGGAGCTACTGTAAGCACGAAGAAGGAGCAGGATCTGAGCTAGGGCCGTCCATGAGCTGACCAGATTGGGTCTGGTACCCAAAGACTTTTCAATCAAAGGGAGTGTTATCTTATTTTATTTTTTAAAAAAATCTGATTCAGAAATATTTACTTTCTGAGTCTTTCAACGTACTTGGGGGAAAACATGGAACAAGATTCTGACCTTGTCCCCAAGGCATGCAAAGCTCAGAGAAGACAGACGAGGGGCAGGCAGTTACAAGCAGATGAAGTAAGGGCTGGGGCAGATGAGAGCGGGGCTCCACGTGTCCCCCGGGGCCCCATCTAACCTGAACCTGGAAGTCTGAGATGGCTTCTGGGGAGATGACAGAGCCACTGGGGCGGAAGGGCCACCACCTGGCCAGGTGCTCTGTGTGGGGGTTGGGGTGCAGTGAGGGTGACTGTTAGAATAGTACAGAGAGAAGCTTCCAGACAGAGAAGAGAGCCAGGAAAAGCTTGGTGGCAAAAAACAAGGACAAAAGGAAATCGCGTGGCCAAGAATGGTGT